AATATCTTCCATGCAAATAAGAAATATAATTGTCCTTCTTTTGAATGCAACTTTTGTAATAAGGTCAGTCATTTGAAACCTTATTGTTATGCTAAATCAAATAAATTAAGATGGTCTAAAGGAAATAATTATAGAGCTCTTAAAGTCACTAGCGCACCATGGCCAAAAAAGACTTGGGTGTCAAAGGTGAGAAATTAATTTGATTTGCATGAATGTTTTGCAGGTTTTAAAGAGACTAATTGCAAATTTAAAGAAGCATTGAAAATCATGAGTATACCTTGAATATGCCAAAGAAATATGGACTTAATGATTTTTGATCAAAATGATGCTTGGTGGTATTGATAGCCTTTTATAAAGATATATTTTTAATGGATTTGATGATCCTAATAGTCATGGAACTTCTTGGAATTTTAAGGCGAAAAACCTTTGATGGTCTTCTCACCATTGAGAATTCAAAGCCAATTTTAATGATTCGACGATGTCATGTCGTTCCTTTTAGATGGGGGGTTTCTCAAGATATCTTCATGAATTTTGATGTAAAACACTTAATAGAGATTAACTCAGAAAAACATGATTAAATCCTTTAGCAAGTGGTCTTAACGTGCTTAGAGAATTCATTTTATTATTACCAACCTTTTGGTTTGAGATAATTTTGAGTTTAAGTAAAGGTTTCCAAGACAAAATGAAAAATTAAGAAAATAGGTTCAATATTGGTGAGAAAGGGGCATAAAAAGAAGAAGGATCCAAGCCCAATGTCATCCAAGACCCTAAAAAATAAGGAAGCAAAAAGTGTTATATAATCTATTAACTCTAAGAGCTAATTGATTAGGGGAGGCTAAAATACAAATTTTGTACCACCTAATCGATTAACCCAAAGGACCTAATTGACTAAATATTTTTTCTCTCTAATCTTTAGTAATTTAAGAGGAGATCAATAAATCCAATGATTATTTCTTCTCCAAATCTCAATCAAATCAAATTATCAAATTAGAATGCTTAAATTTCAAATTTTCACGAGGTCTAATCAATTAAACAATATCTTAATTGATTAGAGAGCTTCTTTTGAAAAGTTTTACTAATTAATCTCTTATGGGCCAAATAAATCTAATTTTGTATGATTTCTCATGCCAAAAAAAGCTCAGAAAAAGCAATAGTACACACTCCTCACCTTTTATTCATCCCAAATTTTATCCTCTTCTCTTGTTTGCGCAAGTGTCTACATTTATTGCTATTATCATCATTGTTATGTCTCCCATAAATAATCTTCTTATTGAAAATCCTTCTTCAAATTAATCTCCATCAAAGGCTTCCCCATCAAAAGTTCAAGAAGAAAAAGATTTCTCCAACCGCCAGGTGCTCAGGTTCTTCTACATGGATGGGAATACTATCAAATATTTTTCTCCTTATGAAAATGTTTATCATGGGTTTCTCATGTTAAATTGTAATTCATATGTGTCAAAATTAGATTTGATTTTGTTTTAGATTTAAATAGATTTGAATTTAAGTCTAGAATAGATTTGATTAGATTTGATTTAGTAAAAAGATATTTTGGGCTTGGGTTTAAGCTTAGGGAGCAAGCTAACCTAAATCTATAAATAGAGGGAGTAACCCCTATTTTGTAATCAAGTCATTCACAGTATTTTGCAGTTGCAAAGTGAATAATAAAATTTCCACAGTTTGTGGGCAGAGAGAAACTCTGCAGAAATATCTCTATTGTCTTTTCTTTGTTTGTCTCATAACTAATCCTCAGTGGTGGTCGAAATTCATCATAGAGTATTGGTGGATTTCCAACATCTGGTATCAAGAGCTTGTGTTTCGATTCAAGGGAAGTGTCAATCAAGAACGATTGAAGAATTCACGATGACAAGTTATGGGAATTCAAACTATCCAGCAACGCTGCCAATTCTGAAAGTTGACAACTATGAGAATTGGTGCAAACAGATGAAAGTCCTATTAAGGTGTCAAGGCCTTTGGGACCTTGTAAAAGATAGAGTCGAAGCGCTTAGCGAAAACGCTTCAGAAGAAGAAAAGAAGAAATATACAGAATCTGAGAAGCAGAGTTATAAAGCATTATTTATAATTCATCAATGTGTCAGCCCAGACAACTTCGAAAAGATTAGTGATTCAGAATCTGCAAAAGAAGCTTGGGAGATCCTTGAGAAGTCTTTTGGAGGCGCTGAGAAGGTGAAAGAAGTGAGGTTACAAACTCACAAAAGGACCTATGAACTGCTTCAGATGGAAGACAGTGAAAACTTATCTGATTTCTTCACTAGAGTTACAAAACTAGTGAATCAAATCAAGACATGTGGAGAAACATTAACAACAAGAGTTGTTGTTTCGAAGATCTTGAGATCTTTAGCTCCTAAGTTCGACCACATAGTGGCGGCGATCGAAGAGGGGAAAGACTTGTCGAAATTGACAAAGGAAGAGCTTCAAGGGACTCTCGGATCTCATGAACAAATAATGAACGAAAGAGCTGCAGGAAAATCGAAGAGTGATGTGGCCTTACAGGCACATTCAGCAAAAGAGACCAAAGGCAAAGGAAAGTATTTTGACAAAAGTAGAGGTGGCTACAACAAATCGAATGGTAGAGGAAACCAAATCGAAGGAGACGTGTCGAATCAAAGAAGACCACACCAAGGCAACCAAAGAGGTGGTGCTGCAAATAGAGGAAGAGGTGGTGGTCGAAAACCTGATAAAAGTCACATTCAATGTTACAATTGTCAGAAATATGGACACTATTCGAGTGATTGTCCAGAAAATTGAAAGAATCAAGAAAGTGATACAAATCTTGCAAAACATGAAGAAGAAGAAGAGATGATGTTGATGGTCACAACAAAAGATGAAGATAGATTCAAGGACCAATGGTACTTGGATTCAGGATGTTCATCACATATGTCAGATGGACGTGAAGTGTGCATTCCTAAATAGACCCTTAGGTGAAGAAGTCTATGTTAAACAACCAGTTGGGTTTGTGAAACATGACGAAGAAAGAAAGGTGTACAGGATACATAAAGCCCTGTATGGATTGAAACAAGCTCAAAGGGCTTGGAATAAGAAAATTGATAGTTTTCTAAGGGAGAAGGAATTTGTGAAGTGCATAACTGAACATGGAGTATATGTAAGAAGAAGCAAGAGTAAATTGCTTATACTATGTCTCTATGTAGATGATTTGTTGATAACAGGTAGCTGCAAGAGTGAGATCGAAGACTTCAAAGGTGATCTCAGTAAGGAATTCGAAATGTCTGATTTGGGTGAGATTTCATACTTCCTTGGTATCGAATTCTACAAGAGCAGTAGAGGTTTGATGATGCATCAAAGAAGATATGCAGGAGAAATTCTCAAGAGGTTTGAGATGGAAGAATGCAACCCAACTTCGACACTTGCAGAACCAAGACTGCAAATATCAAAAGATGCAGATGAAGATGATGTTGATCCAACCCAATACAAAAGACTTATTGGATCATTAAGATATCTTTGTCATACAAGGCCTGACTTAGCATACAGTGTAGGTATGGTAAGTAGATTCATGCAGAAGCCAAAGGTATCACTTCTAGCAGCAGTGAAGAGGATACTAAGGTGTCTCAAAGGAACTTTCAATTATGGAATTTTGTTTCCTGCAGTTGATAAAGGAAAAGAATGCAAGTTAGTGGGATACACTGATTCGAGTTGGTGTAGTGATGCTGAAGATCGAAAGTCAACAGTAGGATATGTGTTTATGCTAGGTGGTGCACCAATTGCTTGGAATTTAAGAAAGGAACCAGTAGTGGCATTATCATCACGTGAAGCAGAATACATAGCTGCTTCTCTTTGTGCATGTCAAGCAACTTGGATGATGAGCTTGGTCGAAGAGATAACAGGGAAAAATCATGGAGCAATCACCATGAAGATAGACAGCATGTCAGCTATTAATCTGGCGAAGAACCCAATAGCACATGGTCGAAGTAAGCACATCCAAATGAGGTTCCATTATCTTCGAGAGCAGGTAGCAGATGGGAAGATGAATTTGGAACACTGCAGAACTGAGAATCAGATTGCAGACATCATGACGAAGGGAGTGCAAGTCGAAGTATTCAGAAAGCTAAGGGCCATGATGAACATAGACAGTTTAGACACAATGAATTAGGTGGTGTGTTAAATTGTAATTCATATGTGTCAAAATTAGATTTGATTTTGTTTTAGATTTAAATAGATTTAAATTTAAGTCTAGAATAGATTTGATTAGATTTGATTTAGTAAAAATATATTTTGGGCTTGGGTTTAAGCTTAGGGAGCAAGCTAACCTAAATCTATAAATAGAGGGAGTAACCCCTATTTTGTAATCAAGTCATTCACAGTATTTTGCAGTTGCAAAGTGAATAATAAAATTTCTACAGTTTGTGGGCAGAGAGAAACTCTGCAGAAATATCTCTATTGTCTTTTCTTTGTTTGTCTCATAACTAATCATCAGTGGTGGTAAAAATTCATCATAGAGTATTGGTGGATTTCCAACATCTCAAAGAATTATTTATTTAAAAACCAGACTCGGTGTATCCAAATGTTGTCCAAATTTTCTATGCAAACCTCAAGTATGAAGGTATATCTATTACATCAAGGATTGATGATACTAAAATCAGTTTCACCATGGAGGGTTTTGGGGTTATGTGTAAGGTACACGCTTACGGAAAAACCTATAATGTTATTTTTCTTGATGATGCTCTAAACTTCAATCATGTTGTTGCAATTGGAAGTTTCCTTATCAACCCAATGAGAGAAAAAAAACTTCCTCTCAAGATGAAATTCATGAAAGCGTGTTATTGTGTTGTGCATCATCTTATGACCCATGTGTTACTTCCGAGAATGGAAAATTATGATGAGCTCCTAAAGGAATATGTAGTCCCTATGTGGCTGTTAGCTATGAATTTTCAATTCAATTAGGCTTACAGAGTGGTTCGTTATATGTTCAAGTTCTAAGGATCAATTCATTAGGCCTACCCTATGGACGTTTGATCACCAATTTTATGGTTAAATTTGGGATCTTTTTGGATAATGAAACCTCAAGTTTAGATTCTGGGAAGATTGATGAAAAATCTATAAGTTTGGTCAAGGTCCAACTTGGTGATAGGAGCTTAGAGGGTGTTCTGATTAATGCAGGTGATAACAAGGATAATCAAATACCATCTTCTAAAGGAATGTTTACAACCCTCTTAAAAATCTCTCAAGAGTGTTCTCAAGCTATTCAAGAGTTGCTCAAGGAAGTTTCGTTCATCAAGAATCATGTTTTGGGAAAGGGAATAGCCAATAATTATGATAACCACAATTAATAGTTGTCTTGCATCATGTTTTTCTCGATACTAGTGTGTTTATTTACAACAATCACCTGCTTTATTGTGCATTAACTTTATTTCAATTAATTTAAATATAAGTATCTTTTCTCCTTCCTTATTTGAAATTCTTGATCTATGTGCTTGAATTTGTTTCCTTATTTGTTTATTATTTCTGCCTTTTTGATAATGCAAAAGGGGGGGAAATATACTGTCTATATTTGTCATGGGAGTGTAAGCATTCTGATCTATTATTTGTTTCTTTTTTTTGTTCCACCTCTTTGAGATATGCATTGTCATTATAAAAAATGGAGAAATGTATATCTAAGTGCTTACATGTACAGTATCAACAATAGTCAGATGATCACAATGGTTTTGATGATGACAACACTATAATATAAATTCTTTATCTAAAGTGATGATCAAGATGTTATATCTAGATGATCAAGATGTTTTGTTTGTAAGATCAAGATATCAACCCTAATCTTGTGAGGATAACACCTAATGTCAAGCAAAATTTGGTAGAATCCATGATGATCTCTGGTCAAGTAATCTTTAACGATGGTATTTATCAAGAGGCTCTACCAAGTCTCATCAATTAGAAGAATTCAAGTCCTAAATGAAGTGTTGAATCAATAGTGAATCTATCAAGGAATTATGAAGCTTCAAATGTTGTGAAAGACAGGACATGTAAAAGTTCGTTTGAATAAGGTCTGAGTGATCAGAGTATTGTAAACATATTAGATTAATTCTTAAATTACTAAGGCAATGGACACATTCACCTAAAATTGTTTTAAACCTCTCTAAAATTTCTAAAATACCTTAAAACCTATAAAAGAACCATCAATGTTCTTGCGGGATTGATCAAGAGTGGTCTTGATCATTTATAAAACATGTATACACTACCTAATCAGTTAGGCACCTTAAGTAATCGATTAGAGAAAGGAGTATAATTTCTCAATCGATTAAGAACACTCTTAATCGATTAAGACACATAGTCGTTATAAGGGTTCCATTTTAGGAATTACGATTGTCATATTTTGAAGCTTATAATCGATTAACCCTATGACATAATCGAGTAGAACAGTTAAAGGCCCATGGACCGTTTTGATTTTTTTAGCCAAATTATTTTCATATAAATACAAGGCTTCTCCTTACTTTCAAAATGCATTAGAAAATATATTTCTATTTACTTTCTCACTTTCTACTCTCTTATTTCTCATTTTTTTTTATTTTTCATTAAATTATCTTAGTGTTTTGAGAATGAAAAATATTAGTGAAACTTTTTGTTTTGGTTTTGGGATTCTTCTTGTAATTTATTCTTAAGAGTTTCTCTCACTTCTCTATGTGGAATTGGGTTTCTTGTATTCTACAATCCTAAACTTAGGGAAACAAAAACAGTCAAAATCGGATATAAAATAAATTATAATTTTGCAATTAGAACAATCACTCATAAAAACTATCAAGTGGCAAATTATTTTTTATTAAACATTATTAACATGATTCAACATGGTTGCTGAAAAAGGATATTTTTGTTTGTGACAAAAAGCGTGATGTGCGTGCTATGGAAAGAAAAATAATAATTTATCATAAGATTTGGATTGTCATGGTGAAGAAGATCGATTATGAAAATATAATGCAATGTTAGCTTTCTATATTTCCTTCTTTGATTGCTTTTTCCATTTCAAATTTAGTGTAAATTTTTGAACCCTTTCTATTCATATAATCCTTAGTTCTTTTTAAAAAAATTTGATTGCTAATCACCAATTATGTAGTAAACAAATACTTATGAGTGATGAGTTCGGAAAAAAACTAATTTAATTATTTTGAAACTTGCAAATTTAATTGTACTAGAGATGTGAGAATTGAGAAGTCAGGGGCAATGCCTCCCTTTTTCCTTCTTTTTGCAATCCCTTCTTTCATTATTTTATTTTGTTTTGCAAAAGCAATAATTTAGGCGATAGAAAGAAATTGTCACTTGATGGAAAATTTTGGATGTAGGTTTTATTTGGTGTGGTATTGTCTAATGAATATACATGAGTTTATTTCATCTAACGGTTTTAAATCATAGTACACTGATGAGGGATTTTTTTTGATAAGCAATGAGATTATATCAAAATAAAATGTAAAGGGGTATTCGAATCCTCAACAAACGAGAAAAGTTACTCCCTCTTCTTAATACAGTCCAGAGGCGAGTTATACCAGTCATAATAACTACAACAATGAGATGAAATACAAACCATCCCATTCCATTTCCAAGACAAAAAGATGATGGAAGAAAAACACTCATCAAAGCTAAAAGAACTATCTTTGAACAAAATAGTGTTCCGTAAAATCCAAAGATTTCAAATTGTGGCTAACCAAATGATACCAATAGAATTTCTAACAGAGGAACTCTTCACCTGATGAATGGAAAGCAAAGTAGACGGAGAGCCGTGTAAAGTAAAATTAAGACGATTACATGTCCATATATTCACCGCCTCCTAAATATGAGTCGATAGCAAAGAAGAATAAAAAAATGAGCAATATCTTCCTCCTTCCGAAAACAAAAAACACAACTAGAGTTAGAGTTACCGTAAATTATTCCTCGCTTGATGAGTTGTTGTCTAGTCGGGAGCCTATCCAGGATCATCCTCCATCCGAAAACATGAATTTTAGATGGAACCTTAAACTTCCATAAAATGGAAAGCAAGTCTTTCACCTCTGTTGATAAATCTGAACCATAACAGTCCAGCTTATTATAACACGCTTTAACTGTAAAAACATCGACATCGTTATCCCAACAATCGAACTCATCATCCCCCAAAAGCGTAGGCTCAACATCATTCAATAATATCAAAATCTCCTCCTCCTAACGAGTTGCTAAAGAAAGAGGGGCAGCAGCTTCGCAAATGCTATTCCAATGCCAAGATCCTTCGATCCACCCTCCCGCCATCGCCATGCTCCCAAACTTATCCAAGGCCCCTTCGAAAGCTTCAGTGTAAGCTTCTTTAAGGGACTAATTATCCAGCCAATAATTGTTCCAAAAGGAAATATCAAATCCATTTTTCAACCTGCATAAAACATTGTTAGTAAAAACATTCGAATCGACTCCGTTTTTCACCTCAACTTTCAGCAAGTCTCTCCACCAAATCGAGTCACTAGAATGGGCAGCTCTAGCACCTTCACAAAACAGCTTCATTATCGGATTATGGTATCTATGAAACAAAATGCCACTCCAAATCGCATATTTTTCTTTCAAAATCCTCCATTTCCATTTAGATAACAACGTCGTATTGAAGATATCGAGATTCTTAATACCGAGACCACCATTCTTCTTGGATTTGCAAACATTCTCCTACCTAACCCAATGAATAGTCCTTTTCTCATCCGAACCTCCCCAAAGGAAATTAGCTTGAATCCTTCGAATTTCTTTCAACACTTTCACAAGGGCTTTATAAATAGATAAAAAGGAAATAGGTATAGAATTCAAAACCGATTTGATTAAGATAACCTTACCGCCTAAGGACAAGAATCTATTATTCCAAACTGATAATCTTCTTGCAATATTTTTAATGACATCCTTCCACACGTGGACTTTCCTCGGGTTATCTCCGATTCTAACACCCAAAATTTTGAAGGGAATACTATCAATACCACAAGATAAGAACGAAGCTGTCATGGACATACTCTTCTCACTAATGTTCAACCCAAAGATCTTGCTTTTGAAAAATTTAACTTTGAGCCCCGATATCAATTCAAAACCTCTCAAGACGGCTTCCATGCCCCATAAATTCTCCAAACTTCCATCACCCAAAATAACTGTATCATCGGTAAACTGAAGCATGTTGAAAGAAATCTCACCATTAACACGGAAACCCTTGAAATCCCTAACATCCACTGATCTGTTCATGATACCGGTCATCCCCTCCATAACGATCACAAAGAGAAATGGTGAAAGAGGATTGCCTTGACGTAAACCCCTTTCAACACAAAAGTCCTTAGTTGCACCCCCGTTGACCAAAACCGACATGGAGCTACTAAACACATAAGCCTCCATCCACAAAATCTAAGATAATTCCAACTTATTGTATCATAGGCTTTCTCATAATCAACTTTAAGATCAAACAACTCCTCTTATCTCTTTGAGCCACATCAGTAATCTCATTCACCACAAGAACACTGTCTAACATATTTCTACCCGGGACGAAAGTTGATTGTTTCACCGAAATCAATTTGCCAATTACTTTCTTCAACGAGCAACCAACAGTTTTGCCAAGATTTTATACATACAACCTACCAAACAAATGGACCTATATTCCAAAAGAGAAAGCGGGCTAGCAACTTTCAGAATCAACGTAAGAAACGACACCGTACAACCTTTCGATAGTTTAGCCTTGGTGTGAAAATCATTCACGAATTAGCGACGATTTTTATAATTTAGTAACAAAATTAACGACAGTTTAGTAATGGTTTTTTATTTAGCGACAATTTTGACACGAGAGATTAAAAGTTAAAATTAAAAGTTTTATGAGAACTATTATTTAAAAGAAAATTTTGAAAGAATTAAAAGTTAAATATGTAATATTTATGAGGACTAAAAATATATTTAACCCTAAACGAATTTAAAAAAATTATAATATTTATTTTTATAAAATTTATATTTAATAATAATGTTATTTTAAAAAAAAACTAAAACAAACGAATCTAATATCTTATTTCTCAAATATCTTATTTCTCAAAATGCGTTGGACCGGCATGATTATAATCTATTTGAACATTAACTAGACTCATGTAAATCATGCACCCTATTAAAGTCAATAAGAATCAAATAGCTTCTCATACATCAAATGCATATATTGACCAAAAATAATTTAGTTTTGTTGGAACAAATTAACCTTAGTTATCTCTAGGACAATTATTTATATCCACTCAATTGAGTTTTTCTTGTTAGTACAATAGATGGTACTCTATTGAGTTCATAAACTAGTATAATTTTTTTTACACATGAATGAAATATT